GGGCATAACAACATGTGGCCAGTCTAATTATACTGTTTGTTTTGATAAGGCTGTGCAAAGAGATATCAAAACTCTTGACACGCTCTTTAAACGCGAGGTCTTTGCACCTCTTGACACGTCTTGGAATCTCTAGATACGCGGAGTTCCTAGACTATCTTTGCACGTCTAGAAATTGCTTGGAATTTCACATTTGACGCAGTGTTTGTATTCATGACAATATAATATCGGAATTCGCAATGGTATTTCGAGCATCGAACAATGAGTGTGCTCTTCTTTTCAATGGACGTAAACGAGGGCGTTAAAAAGAAACTGGTGTAATTTAGCCTTGAGTTAAACATAACCATCAGATGTAATTTGATTTTTTTCATTTAATAGCAGTTTTATTAACTAATGGTGGGGTACTCCATGACCATGATCCCAGTCTTTATTGTGAATGGTTCTAAATAGACTATTCCAACGCCGGATAATCTCGAAGTTCTTAGTTTTGATAAAATAGGCTTGAAACTGATCGGATGGATGAAGACTCGTGCATAGACGGACATCAAGGTGACCCAAGCTAAGTGCAATGGCAATGAACTTTTACTAGTTAAGTTACAGTTAACAAATGTAAATATTTTATGTCATTGAAAACTAGATAAATATAACCAATTTTATACAGTTGAGACAATTATTTACATGAAATCCGCATTCCACATCATGTATACGTAAATATTGTTGCAAATCAGATGTGACTGTGAAAATGAAAGAAACCATTGCAATGTTTAACGTCCTATAATAAGGAACACAGATTATCTATTATGGTATTGATATCTGCGTTAAAATGTAGTCGAATGAATATTTTCTTTATATTTATAAATTGAGGAAAATTGATTGAAGTTGTGAGTTAAGAACGATCAATTCTGAATGTGGATCTTATTGAGTAAGTCACATAGAAACAACAAAATTCAAAATGGAAAAGGATGTTTCTTGGTGTTTTTTCTAACATGCCATTTGACTTGACAGATATTCAATGTGAACAATAATTTGTGATGTTTTCTTGCAAAAATTATTGCAAAAGCTGTCATAAAGTAGAGGTCAAAATGACATCTACAACTTTATCTTAATACTCAGGATTTACATGTATATTACTCAAGATGTTCATGTATAATATTGTTCACATTAAACTTTATAGTTATATAATTAAGAGTTCTTATATCATAAAATCACCCAAAATTGAACGCAAAACTAGTGATATTTCATAACATTTTCTCATACATTATAAAAATATATGCAAAAATAAAGTGCAGCCTTTCATGCATTTGGGAGAACTTGATCGTGGATATGTATTGACACATAGCTAGGCAAGGAGTGTCCGATTATAGCCATTCCGATCACAGTATTTCAAATAACTGCAATGCATTATATCACCAATCACTGCATTCAAGGTTACTTGTTAAACAGTTGGCATGGTGACGATTTGACTCTTCAGATTGAAATTGATACTTTGCCAACTTGACCCTTGCAAAAGATTTCATTGAAAATATGTTATTTAAGTGATTATGTATCTTTTAGGTGATTTCGTAGGAATATTTTGCAATGTGTGAAAAGAAGTTAAGTCCAAGACTCAATGCATTGTGGCTGCTTCATTAGTTCTAAGCTGCAATTATTGGCTGAAATACTGCGCAAAATGGTTTTCGATATTACATGATATTTTTATATATTTTTTCTTTGATAACCCAGGTCTATTTTTGCAAACACAATTTTGCAAATTGCCCAGAACAAAACTCTAGATCAATACGATAGGAATGTGACTTTCTTTGTGTATTTCTTCAGTTGCTATTAGGTTTCATATCAGACATAAACGTGTGACACTATTTCAAGCAAGCTTTCAATTAACGTGCTGATGTAGTTCACCCACGGACTTTTTTCTCCAGCTCCGTGGTTCACCATATGAATGAAAATATAAACAATATCTTAACAAAGGACGCGAAGCCATTGAAGTTGCTAGATGCAGAAATTCTTCGAAAGAATAAGTATGAATATCTTCATCAACAGAAAGAATGAGCACATGAATCTTGTAATTTTGCTGAAAATAATGTTTAGTAAAATTGACATTTACAAGAGAAGATTCAAGTGAAACGTTACAAAAAATCTGAAACCGAGTCAATTTCTCCGGACTTCTTGGTATCTCTCAGATTCCAAAAAGGTTTTCGTACTTATTAACGTCATAGCTTAAAACCAATAGCTTAAATGTTACGACTTAGACTCATTAATAGATTATCTGACATGTAGTATCCTATTCTTCACAGAACTCGAATTGTTGACATATAGCATAGTATTACTATAAACAATTATGATAAGTCGTTATACATAAATATTGTATCATAAATTTACATTACCATATTGATTTACATGCATGTTAACACAACAAATACTATAAGTTATTGAATGATTTGAGGTGCAATACAGGACACATTATGCTCGAAAAATTCTGTATTAGAACGAGACGAAGTCGATTGCCAATACAGAATATCGAGACAGAATATATCCTGACATTTTGCATGTTGCCGTTTAAGCGTTCCATTCATTTAGTGAGAATCTCGGACCTATAATTACCCTTTTCGACTTCACTTCTTAAAGGATAGCTTCGTCTGTAGTTTATACCAAGACTCTGCGCGCAGGGTAATCTATAATCATTATGCAACAAATGATGGGTATCGATATGGTGAACTTTTTGAACACAAGTTCCTCTTAAACCAGTCATCAAAAATCCTGTAAATTTTACACATCGTCAATTTAATGGTCTTAAACGTGTCTTTTAAAAAAGTATCTTGTTAATGAAATAAAAGGTTTATCTTAATTTCAATCTATTTTGGATTTTTGTTTTAATTTTTGAATACTTTTTGTAAAATCAACCAAAATTTTCTTTGTATCACTATAATATTGAGAGGTCTAAAAATGTTGTATATGCTATTTTGTTCCAACAAGATATTTTATTTCATTCTCAATAATTGGTAAAAAGGAACAAAAAACAATTGTACTAAAAAAACAAAAAAATGTTAATAAAAACAGTTATATAAAATATATATAAATAATTTTCGCATTAAATTGTTGTCAATCAGTCAACATTACATAAAGGACCGTGTTTTTACAGAAAGTTTCCATAATTAAAACATTGTTAAATTCAGTTCACCATATCGATACCTACTGTATCATTTATCCTTGATTTGATGAAAGAATATTGATAAATCAATTAATCAATTAGAAGGTTGATCGATCTTAAGGAAATGTGTCTTTTATTTACCCTTGATATACGTTTTTAAGTCTATATGTTCGTAAATATATTAATTGTTCATATTTATATATGTTATTGGGACGCTTGTCATAACGCACCAATGATGATAAGGTACATGTATCTATACCATATTGGGATTTGCAGATACGATTTATCTGATGCATTATTAACCCCATTTTGATACTCATCACATATTTTTCTTTTTCAACTTCCAATACGATGGTGAGATGAAAATATATTAGTTTAAGTATTCATAACCTTTGAAGCGACCTGATTGGTGGAATCCGACTCCCGGTTATCCCCTCCAATAATACGTATGGTCTCTGTAATTAATTTGATCGGTCCTCAACATTTTTAGCACAATTGTACGGATCGAAAGCAGACTCAGATAAAAAAAACTCAAACTAACTCATGGTATTCTAGAGAGAAACTCATACACTGGTGGTCCGCTCGATTAGACTGGTTACCGAAACGGTTCGTTTTGGTAACAAAATGTCGGAACGTCGAAGGTACGATTTTTCTTTTTTCCTTATTTCACGCGTTGTAGGCAGAATCCCTACGACGTTTTTTCTCACAAACGTGTATCAGCATCATATGTTTTAGAAAATGTACATGTTTGCGATCAAATAGCTCAGAAGACAACAGAATCGACGATTTAATTCCTCACTTAAGTTACATAAACGGTTTGGGTTAAAAGTGCAGATCTTAACTGTTTTTCGAAAAACCGTTTATGTAACTTAAGTGAGGAATTAAATCGACGATTATGTTGTCTTCTGAACTATTTGTTCGCAAATATGTACATTTTCTTAAACATATGTTACTGATACACGTTTGTGTTAAAAATGTCGTGGGAATTCTGCCTACAACGTGTGAAATAATGAAAAAAGAAAAATCGTACCTTCGATGTTCCGACATTTTGTTACCAAAACGAATCGTTTGGGTAACCAGCGTAATCGAGTGGATCACCAGTGGTATAGCAGACCATCATTTGTCATCATGTATTAACCCTAATACAGGCATTTTTTGTCAATTAATGCCAACGCCCCCCCCCCCCCTCTTTGACAAAAAAAGTGAAAGCGTGTTTAACAATTTAAATGAAACGTTAAATCAGAACACCAAGAATAACATCATATCGTGCAGCTGTAATTACTCTTTACCATCCAAAACATAAATGCTAATTTACAGTTATTTTTAGTGACTGGATGGTATAACTAGTAGATGAAGTTCCAATGAGCATTTGAATGATTAACTGGTTACATAACATCCTAGAAATCAAAAATAAAATGAACTGTGATTTACGTACATTTTATCGCAAAATTATTGAAGCAACAATTTCTTCATGAGCATCTCGTCTAATTCTTGTTTTCTTAAACGCTCTCGTATTTTGCTAGATCGTATTTTGATCGATTTAAGGAAACGTGTCTTTTATTTACCATTGATAAACGTTTAAGTGTATATGTTCGTAAATATATTCTTTGTTCATACTTAAATATGTTATTGGGACGCATGACATAACAAACCCATGATGATAAGATGATCAGTTTGGCGTAACGAAGATTTTGATTTGATTTGATTTTGAGACGCGTCACGCGTTTTATTAATGAAACATCATATTTGGACCCAATCAGAGTCCTCTTAAAGAAATGAAGTACATATTCCTTGAAAACGAGGGTAATTACTGGGTGAATTGAATTTCCATTTGGAATGTTTTTCATAATGTACTTACTCCCCATCCGCACAGCAATCAAAGCCCGCTACCACAGCACAACAGATGGCGCTGATGTACATAACGCTAGTCTGTAATCCCCAAAGTTCCATCATTCACTCTAAGCGTACGCAGGTCTAATCATTCACTCTAAGCGTACGCAGGTCTAATCAATGTAGGCCTCTCTTTAATGGGTATTGAATGTAGGCCTTGTACACCAAAGACCTTGTAACACGAATTGTTATTAGCAAAATTCAATAGTAAATATTTATATTTTGTTTGTTTTATTTGTTACTGTGCATCCTTGGATGATCCGCAGCGTAATATTGAACGTGTTCCAGCTCAGCTAGACGTCAGTATTCTGGTCTTTTGGTACAATTTAAACTTATTTTAATCCATTGAAGTTAAAATACATCTGCAATGCCTCTATATCAATCTCAAGATAACAATCGAAATATTAGCACGGATTGCACTGTAAGTCAATTATTTTAATCGCCAGGTTGAATAATGTATTCTTGTTTTGTCTGCAGTTATAAATTATTCAAACAAAACTACATTGTATTATGATCCTCTTTAAGTAACATTGTCATAATTATAACGATTCCATCAGCATCTTCCATACAAATCCATATAATAGAAACTTTAAGCGCAATGTTGCGTTTAAACCGAGTATCAGGGCCTAATGCACTTGATGAAGATTTCTTGAGCAAATCAAACTATCGGAAGGCTTTGTTCCGTTGCCATCCTTAAATTGTATCCACGATTTGTGTCCAATTTCCAAAAGATATATCCAGTTTATCAGTTATAGATCATTGTGCCTCTTGGCGTTCTCGTTAGCAACTTCCCCAACTGGCTGTTCCTTTTATAATATGTCAAAGGATTGCGTGTGGTTAGCGCTTGTTATATGAGATCAATACGATGATTGTACTATGCTCTTCACGGTTTATCACCGTGAATAATTGAATAAAGAGCGAGGAATAAGTTAATTGCGATCGTGAATGTGCGGGGTGTCATTCTTGTATTTACTATTTTCTGACATGTAAAAATGAGACACTAAATGATTGAGTAATAGCATAGTGTATAATGAACATGTCTCCATTTCAAATATTCAATAACTCACATATTTCATCAAATTATATCTTAATTCTTTTTTCAGATAATAGAATTAGGTAACACCGGTACGCTGTTTTAGAAATTACTTCCTACATTTTACACTTTCTTTTCTTTGCTGGTATTTTATGATCAGTGTGCATCGATCGCGAGTCTTCCGTCGATATAATCACGTTGGCGAAATTGGGTCGACTTTTGTAGGTAGAAATATCTTTAAAAACAGGATCCTAAAATGTAAAACTATGTCACAAATGTTGTTGAAAAATCATAATAGTAAGTTGTTTAAATACTAATTTTGGAGTATATTTCTTGTTATCGAAACATAGATTAATTTTACTCGTCGCATTTTATTATCTTTCTTGTTTAAATTAATATCTTCTCTTCGTGACATTCTCGAGGGGAATCATTCACCAGAATCTACGATCCGCGACAAAAACAAACAAAATTATTGCTTGAGGTAACACTTTGTAGGCGTAGTTCTCCAATTATTGTAGCCATTGGGCACTAACAAATTGGTGAAATTGTTTAATCAGCCGAGAATGGTCATTTGATGTACGACACACTCTTCGATATTGGCAAAAACTGTGGCTATTAGATAGACCTTTTGAATAAACCCTGCCCTGCCATCTTTTGGTACATCAAAGAAGCTTGATATGCTTTATTGGCTAGATCGATGACGTCATTGGTTGTACTTTATAAAACGTATGACATCAACAATCTAGCAAATATATCACAGCTTTCATGATCCGCCAAAAGGTGGCAGTGTTCACTGGAATTGCTATTGTTTTATTCTTTTAACATTGTGAGCATCGTTCAGGGCATCGTTGTCATTAGCACTGGTGATCCGCTCGATTATGCTGGTTACTGAAACGAACCGTTTCGGTAACAAAATGTCGGAACGTCGAAGGTACGATTGTTATTTTTTCCTTATTTCACGCGTTGTAGGCAGAATCCCCACGACATTTTTCTAACAAACGTGTATCAGTATTATATGTTTTAGAAAATGTACATGTTTGCAAAAACTTAGCTCGGCAGACAACAGTTAAGTTACATAAACGGTTTGGGTTAAAAGTGTTTTTCGAAATACCGTTTCTTTGACTTAAGTGAGGAATTAAATCGACGATTTTGTTTTTCTAAACTATTTGTTCGCAAATATGTATATTTTCTGAAACATATGATAGTGATACACGTTTGTGATAAAAATGTCGCGGGGAATTCTACCTACAACGTGGGAAATACGGAAAAAAGAAAGATCGTACCGACATTTTGTTACCGAAACGGTTCCAGCGTAATCGAGTGGATCACCAGTGATTAGGCTAAGAACCAAATGAACAGGCTGCTTTTAGCGGAAGGCCTTAAGTTTTTTTATAATCTATATTGTATAAGAGTCCAATTTCCCTTTCAAAGACGGTTTCGCATTTCAAACAGTTCTTATGTCACTACAACAAGTGCCTGGTGACATATTGTTATAGTTTTTCTTAAAATCCCAATTTTATTTTCCTAAAAGAGATTTGAGACATCTGATAAAATATTGAAGTTTTTAAAACGCAGAAATGTCCAATTTTTAAAAGAAAAGTATTATTAATTGCTTTTTGACAATTTGTCTCTTGACTCTTTTTCCTTTCCAGTCCCTTTAGTCAACTCGCATATTGTGATATGTAATGCACTTTAACAGTACAATGTAATTATTTGAGGAGCGCAGTATGTATCAATTACCCAATAATTTATAATTCTACATGATGGATGGTATTTGTCAAAATAGTGGTAATCTTTTTGTCAAGTATTACGAAACATGCCTCAAAATTACACTCTTCTTATATCTTCTTATGGTGCATAGAGGAGTACATCCTTCAAGATCAGGTGTAAAAGGGGAGGTGGTCCTATCCAATTTTGTGTCTACTCTCTATTGATTTATATGGTGACCTAATTTCAATTACTTTCCTTATTATTTATACACAGTCAGGGCCAGTAAGGGCCGTAAGGAAAGGGGACCATAATCCCCAGGGGACCATAATTTCTTTTACACCGGCTTCACTGCTATCACAGCTGTGGAAAGAATCGAAATACCCTTGGACCAAGAATAAAGGAAGTGAATCCTTTGAACTTTATTTTTAACCTTCGTAGAACCAGCAAAATAGTAATCAATGACGAAACAGGAAGACCGAATTAATGCAGTTCACACCAACCCAGTTAAGTGTAACTCCATTCTTTCAGTTTTCACGAGTTGTCAAAAACATGCTTCCAGAAATTAATTGGAAAAAAGGTTGTGATGTCTCACGATAATGTCACCATGATTTCCAATCAATAGTAATCTGGTGCTCTTTTGAGTTAAATAGTTACATTTAAAAGCTAATAGAGCTGCATCAGTTAGTTAATCTATTTACGATGTAATGTACATGTACAGTAAGCAAGAACAAGGGGCAGTATGAACAATATCGTACCTTAAAGTTAATCAGCTCTAGAACTTCTTACCATGTAACATGTGTGAAAATTTGAAGTAAATCCGTCAAGTGGTTTTCCTGGAATCACGATGTCAAGATTTATCTAAAGGCTTCCAAAATGGCCGCCAGAATGCAAGATGGCTGCCGAAAAGCTAATCAGCTCAGAACTTCTTACCATCTGACATGTTTGAAAATTTGAAGTAAATCCGTCGAGTGGTTTTCCTGGAATCGTGATAACAATTAAGTGTGACGCCGGCCACCAGCCGCCCGTCAAGCTGACGACAATATCGTACCTTTTTTAGGTGCGATAAAATTGAAACACCGTACAATATCACGTAACATGGTGTTTATGTAATGGATAAACTGGGAGTACTGGCTATGGGGTGAAAGAATGACCGAATGCCCGAAGCTATTATTTCTTCTAAGAGCAAGTGCGAATGGTTTATCTAAGTTAAAACCCACACTGATACTTACGAAAGGTAGATGGTCAATAATCCAGTTCAAATTACACTTTACCATTCAACTTAAATTTGATTTCTTTTGTATTGACTATTCAACTATTGATACTAGAGGTAAGTTAGTTGATGTGTGAGTGAATAGGGTGTAATTAGTTCAGCTTCAGTGCACTGCAAGTAACAGTTCAGGTACAGCGTAGACTAGTCTAGCTACAAGCCCTTGTGACCCCCCCCCTATACACACCTCCCCACAAGGTCTTGTAACCAGTGAGTACTTTTCACTGATAGGCAATAATTTATTCCTCAACATGCACTTGTTTATTTAGAGTGTGCCCTAGCCAAAAACAACGAAAGGATCTGATTGGCTCCTTAAAACTACTTCCACTTCCGGTGATCTAGAGGGCAGCACCTGCGCCTTTCCAATCATTACAAGACTCTGTGTGAGATGTGTGTAGTCAAGTAGGGGGGTCACAGGGTCTTGTAACTAGACTTAGTGTAGACATTGAACATGGATGACATGGAGAAAATTTTTAAGTTACCTTAGCTCAATACTATAGGTAGCAGCACAAAATAATAGATTGTTTAATTTAACGAATGCACAATAGCTTTTGATAGCTTACTTATTGTTCATTGTTAAAAAACAATAGAAAATGAATTTACTCTTCCTTTGTTACAACTGTACGTTATTTAAAATAAAAAACAGTTCTTTCGTTTCATTGTGTTGCTAGCTAAGTGGGTTTTAATATCACCCAAATGCGACAGATCGATTCAATCGTATGTGTCCCATTATTTTGTATGAATTATTTCTGCACTTTGATGTAATCGATTTTTAGAGTTCTTGGAATTGTTATCACCAGGGGTCAAAATTATGAAATTATGTTGCATCTGGCTTAGTCCGTTTATCTTTTGGATTGTCGCACTGAATTACACCTACACGTAGGGCTGAAACAACGACCCTAGGGCCTTCACTAAGATTTTCATGGTTTCTTCTTGAATCATCTGACAGATTACCAGGTATATCTGTTGCAGAAATACATACTTTTCTGCAATACAAAAACCAGTTGTGCGCCAGCTGAGCTAGTGGGCAGGTATATTTAAATTGTTTGTGGATTTCTGTTCTGGTTGTTTATCGTATTGATAACCTGCTGATTGAAAGTCTTTTAGC